ATCATTTTTATCAAAATTTGATAGCTTGATAAATGCGTATTGTTTGCACAAATCTCAAAAAATTGTGTCAAATATATTGACTCCGCAACGCTGTCATCAGGCCATAAAGAATCACATTCGGCACAAATTAGACCCTCTGAGAAAAAAGACAGCTGCGCACATGTATGACAGAGAAATCGAACGGATCATGTCGGTCAAACATGCCCATATAATTAGTCCATAGACATTTTTTCCTTCCCTACCGAAAGTACCGTCCATCTGGCAACGGCGCCACTCCCCATACCTCACCGCTCGACGCATCTTTCCGTCAGACCGTGCAGCACGGCAGTCACGGAAAATATCTATCGGTGAGACTGTGTTGTGTTACTCAGAAAGTAGAGATGCGTGTCGAAACTACTTGTATGGCGAAATCTATGATGTGTTAAAAATGTGTGATGGAAACATAAATATACGAAAATTTTCTGATACATCTAAAGTGTAGTTTGAGCGATTTTTATTTTCTTGTTTTTTTGAGCGCAGCTCTGCCTCCACTGGACCGATTTTCAAACAATTTTTCGTCCTGGACAGAGTACTAACCTTGTGCAAGTCAAAATCCGAGCGGTTCTTTCCAAGTTATAGATGTGGCAAGGATTAGTGGACAAACCGACCGACAGATAGATCAACGGAAATAATCTATAGCACCCAAAAAATGATACCTCATTTCGAATTTTTTCGTGACTACAATACTTCCTCGCCAGAGGCATAAGGAGTAAAAGGGAACAGTGGAATTCAGTTATGTTTGCGCAAATTGGCATGCACAAAACTTGCGCAAGCTTGGATGAACATGAGAAAGAACCCTTAAGCCGAGTGAATAATAGTGATTTTCAAGGAAGTTTTTTTATATCGCATAAATATTAAAATGTCCAAAAATAATGATCTCAGCTCTGGAGCCCATTTACACTGAAACCATAGAAATTACAAAACATGTTTGTACTTAATTTTTAGGTGAGCTTACATATAATTTGAGTTCTATAAGGTGGTATGACCGCGCTTTAATTTAGTGCATTTGTCGTGTTTAGGAAATTTATCATTCTTTGAAAAAGTGTGAAAATAATGCTCTCGTATGTTTAAGTTAGCAACTGTATTTTGTATTTCTTAAACAGATCCAAATACCTTACGTTCGATAGGTCTGATTTGAATCAAAATATAAGTTGTGATCTAAAAAACAAGTACAGTAGAACTCCGATTATCCGAAACGGATCGCATACAATAATTTCTCCGTTTTAACAGAATTTGTTCGGGAAATCGGCGCATGATCCGAAATAGCCGCCGGTAGTTCCACTTTCGGCGTTTGCTTCATTAGATTCGCTGCCGATGATTCCCCAAGCGCGTTTGCGGAATTCACTGGTAAGTGTGCGTGTATGTTTGTTTCAGTCAGGTTCATAATCGCTAAGATGAAGCAGCATAGAAATAAACGTAAACGCGTTGTTATTACCATAGAACAGAAACTTGAGGCAATCAGACGTTTAGATAGAGATGATTTGCTTAAAAACGTGGCAAGTGATTTGGGTGTGGGCGTGAGCACCGTTTCAGAATGGAAAAAACAACACGAGAAAATTGAAAAGTGGTCTAGTGTTCTGACATCGTCGCAGCCGTCACGGAAAACTATGAAAAAGGGGGAATATCAAAAAGTGGATGATGCTTTATATCTGTGGTTTACACAGAATCGCGAACGTGGAATGCCAATTTCCGGACCAATTTTTGGAAGAATTAACTGATACAGAACTAATAAAAACCGTTTGTAACAATGGCGATGAGATAGTTTTAAGTGATACTAGTGTCAATGAGACAGAAATCTCTGCCAAAATATCACATTCTGAGGGATTAGAAGCTCTACAAAAGCCGTTGACTTACGTCGAACAACAAGAAAATGCGACAGCAGCTGATGTGCTACTTATCAAAGGTTGGAGGGATATTGCTGCCAAAAATAGGAACAATCCAAAACGTGTACAGTTAAAAATTACTTCCTTTGTTAGTAAACACTCGTAAATATGTATGTTTGTTTCCACATGTTTATATTTTATGAAGGTATATACTCTCTTAACACACGCATTTACTTTTTTCAATAAAAGCATTGAGTCCAAATATTTATTTACATTTTATCCTAAATTTCGATTATCCGAAAGCACTTGGGTCCACATTATTCTGGATAATCGGGGTTCTACTTTATGTAGCCTTAATACTGAAACTTTCACATTACGTTTTAAATCTTCATCAAAAAAAACTAGAATCTTCGATTGAGGTATCGTCTGCGAATCAAGTTATCAATGCATCAGGCACAACCTAGGAAAATTTTACTTTACCACGGCTGCTAGCGAGGAGGTATTGTAATCGCGAACAATTGCGAACTGCCGGGCAAAAAACGTAAAAAAAATCGCTCAGACTTCGTTTTTCCATGTTTCAGGGACTCCTGATCGTTTTCGGGAAAAAAATTGTAGGGGCTAAAAATTGGGGTTTTGGAGTTGTATGGGGTGGGAAGGTTATATCTCAAGTTTTTCATGTCGGTATATTTATACGCCTCTAATTCCGGTAATTCTACACACCTATTAGACATACCTATTTCACTCAGCAGAATTCCCCTCACATTTACCTTAAAACTCGGTCCGGCTGATGGACGTGCGATGCAGTCGGGAGTCGGTTCCGTACTGCTATGGACTGTGGACAGTGTTACCAGGTCTACCAATTTTTCACTAGATGTACCGATTTCAGTAATTTCTACCAAACTATCGATTTTAATGCGAAATATACCGAAAAATTTCTAAAATTCTCAAAGGAGAAACACTGATAGAACTACTTGGACTCTCCTCTCTTCAATTTTTTCAAATTCAATTCAAATTGCATTTTAGCACTTTGTGGAAAATTTCACGATCTACCGAAAAATTTCGCACATATCTACTGAAAGCAAATGTGGAAGTCAATATCGACATCCATGCAATATTTCTCATGGTGCGGGGAAGGGTTATTCGTTGGCAAGAGACAACTTTGTGAGAAAGCGTACCTGCCACCAAAACTTTTTTAAATGCAGGGGGTAGTATATTTTCTTAAGGCATAACACCATCATTTCTATTACAATTGAAAGAATAAAATGTTGGCAATAAATTATACATATATAATTGCAACTTGCATGCTTGATGGAAGGCTGAGGTTGGAGTAGCCTAGGTTCAAAGATCTCAAACAAAGCGGCCAAAGCTCACGTCCAAAGATAAGCCAAAACGTCAGGTCCAATCTGAGATGTGGGCCAAAGGCAAGGGTCCAGAATAATGCATTAAGTAAGACCCAAAGGCTAGGGATATGAGTAAAGTCCAACATAAAGCTTCAGTAAGACATAGCCAAGCGTAAAGTAAGATCCAAATACAAGACCAGGGCCATGGTGATGATCCACAGCTAAGATCTAAGGTCTCAGTAAGTTCCAAAAGGTTCGAAAGGGGGTTGTTTTCGATCTGTTTTCTAATTCGACACCCACATTTTTATATGTAGAACATTTTGCTCTTTTTTAATTCACGTTGTTACAAGAAAGAAATAAATACGTCTTGTCTGTATGGTGGCTTTAATGAGAAATAAAGAATTCTAGCTCGAAATATTTGCAGATGGGAATATTACTAGAAATCGGGATATTTCATGTATGGTGGAACCGTTACAAGTGGGAGAGGGGGCAGGTCGTTAAAAGCCCAAAAAATGTACACAAAAGCATGCTAAATTGCTAAATATCCAAATTTTAATTGTATGAGCCTATTTGGCTGACTTCATCCATTTAATATTTTATTATTAATGTAGCTAACTTTTCTTCTCTAACCTACAGTTCGTTTTGTGTAATTTCTACTATCAATGTAAGAAATTCCTTCAATGCATTTGATAATTCAACGTAATTCTTCATATAAAAATTACAGTTGAATATACAGTCTGCGAACACCAAAAGTTCGCCTATTTCGTCTAACTAACAAGGTTAAAAATCGCTTTAAAATAAAGTAGTCTCAAAATATTCTTTCGAGTCTCATAGAGCGAATCCAGATACGTGGCGACCTCAAAATTTTAATTTTTAACCGAGTTTTTAAGCGTTGAATAAACGCATTTTTAAGGACTTTTCAGACATTAAATCGCTTGTAACTCTAAAATGGTCAGCTTTAGAGAAAAGTTAACAGGAGCCTTTTTTGTTCAGAATGATCCAAAGAATCTGAAAAAAGTTTGTCTCGGTAAAAGAAATTGTAATTTATTTAAACCCATTGTTTAAACTAATTTGACCTGTGTTAGCGTGTATATTCCATACTTAAAAAATCGGTTAATAGTTATGATTTTCGACTTCGTCAAGTATCTACGTATCTACCTTGCACTACAAGACGGTGAAGAGTAAACGATTTGTCCGTCCGATCAAAAACCGTGGACAGCTGTTTTGTGCTTCTTGGATACTCATCAGCATGGTATATGCTTGGTATCTGATCTCTTGTCTCTTAACAAACAATCGAAAGCATGGCAATTATCCTCTATACCGGAGGTACGGTCTATCGGAATCAGACAGAGCAAAGCGCCATCCATCACACCAGAATCAACCGCTGCAGAAACCGCATTAGTTGGAACTGGCATGGATCACAGTTAATCTTCAATTGTCCATTCACCACGTGACCACTAGATGGCTGACGATTCTGGCTGTAAAGTAGATGTGGCATACTTGCCATTGAATAAACTAAACATGATGCTTTCATCCGTCCAACTAAAAAGACAGCCAATCATGGACAGCTGTTTCGGGTGTCTTGGCTACTTATCAGCATGTGGTCGACTTTGGTGTTATAGATGGTGTATTACGATGTCTTACCTTGAATGGATAAGCTGATGTTAAGCCAAAATTGGCGACGACCTTTTGCTTTTATCAGACTGTACAACAAATCTTTTTAGCGACTGACCCCTCGAGTTTTTTTTTTCATTTCAATGTTCCTGAATAACCGGACTATATCCTGCTGTATTTCCAGCTGCCGCTGCGGCGGCCGCGGTGGCAGCCTCATCGGCCGGCGGCACTCCATCTGACTCGTCGACGTCCACCGCAGAAAACGGCGTCGCGACGGCCGTCACCGGAGCGCCGCCGCCGCCGTACGCCCGCCTCCTGCCACGATTGGCCGCTTCTGCGGGCGGCGGGGGCGGCCAGATCCAGCTGTGGCAGTTCCTGCTGGAGCTGCTCGCCGATTCGTCGAACGCCGCTGTGATCGCATGGCAGGGCGGCGACGGAGAATTCCGGCTCACCGACCCTGACGAAGTAGCGCGCAGGTGGGGGGAACGCAAGGCCAAGCCGAACATGAACTATGACAAACTCAGCAGGGCGCTCAGGTAACATTCGCACACATATCCGCCATTCACTTTTGCATAATCAAATGCCTTCTTGGTCTTAGTAATGAGTTCTTGGAATGTAGAGTTTTGGCAATGGGGGACCGCCTAAGGAGCTAATAGTAATGTTCTAGCATCACGTACCAACGGTTTGATACCAAATTGTTAACTCCTTCAATGCGCATGAGTTTTCAAAAGACTAGTTTCAAACGGTTTCAAAGTTGATTCTGCTAGAACACAGCATCGTATTTGACATTAAGGTGAAATTCTGTGTGTCCTCATTGTTAGGACCTTGAATTACCATTCCAGATATAATAAGTTCTTAAACTTGATTAAACGTATTACTACTGCAGAATAAAGAACTAATGGTTATATCAAATATATCTGGATCTTCTCAAAATTATATGGGGGGGTTTTAAAATAAATTGCACACTAACATTGCCACTCTTCCTTCTCTACATGGTGGCGTAATTAGAATTTCAATGTAATGGTTCTTCTCTTTCCTCAATGCTATTTTTTCTTATGATCGGCATATTACATTTTTGCCAGAGCAAATGGAGGTTTTAATTTCGAAATGTAGTGTAAGTGTATAATATGTTATTTTGTTGTTGTTGTTGAAGATTTATTTAGCATGAATGCTACAATGTCAATTTTGTATAATAATTCGGTTACATATTTTTCTTCAATCCATTTTCTGTAATTTTACATTTTTGTCTATTAAAATTACGTCTACGTAAATTCGTACTTTGTTTAATATCATTATTCAATTTATTAAATTCAAATACTCCCTTTTGAAATATAGATTTACTAGTTATGCTACTATTACAATTTTGCAGATGAAAATCTATACCGCCTCTAGTTTCGTAGTTATGATAAAGACTATTTAATTTTGTGAAGTTCTCGAAATGTGCTGGTAATAAATGATTTTTTAATTTGAATATGAAAACGAGAACTAAATAATATATGAAATTTTTCACATCCAACCACTGTAGATCTTCTAACATAGACTTAATCCTGGTATACTTGTTTTTATTTAAAATGATTCTCATAGCTTTATTTTGTAGAATTTTTAATTGACAACATTTACAAAACAAGGTGGTTATTACGGAGAACATACCCAAAAAGCCGGAAATAGCATTCGATTTTTTCTAACACCCACGGTTTTCTTGCAATAAGGCATTTTATTTGCTGTTTATACTCGTAAAATATAAGGATATGTGTGTAACAGTACTAATAAACACTTGAATAAACATTAATCTCAGAATGTTGTTGTCGATGTTTTACGGCGATATGTTGCTCCTGAAGTATCTCTTAATAATGTCCAGCAATAATCAGCAAGCAAATTGACACTCAATTTGACTTGATACCGTTTTTCCATAGCAGAAATATCTTGGTGGAACCATTCACCATGTTCATCACTTACCGCATCTAAAGTTTCCGGAACAAAATCGAGATGAGAATCCAAAAAGTGAATTTTTAGAGACATGTTACATCCCATTCCTTTATAAGCATTAATTAGTTCTCTCACCATATCTTTATAATTAATTGTCCGCCTTCACATTGCCTAAAAAATTTTCAGTATTTAATTTAAAAGCATTCCAAGCTCGTAATTCAGTTTCATTAAGAGCACTGTCAAATACATCATCTTTCATGATTTTCCGTATTTGTGGACCCACAAATATGCCCTCTTTAATTTTTGCCTCACTAAGTCTCGGAAATGTTTGTTTTAAATGCAGAAACCCTCTTCCATTTCGATCCAGAGCTTTCACAAAATTTTTCATCAGTCCCAACTTAATATGCAAAGGTGGAAGCAACACGTTTTTGGGATCAACTAGTGGTTCATGAGCAATGTTTTTGAGGCCAGGAGTTAATACCTGACGTAGTGGCCACTGCTCGCGCACGGCTGTCCCACTCACAAAGAAAACAACAATATTTGGTATATCCCAGTTGCATTCCAAGAAGAAGGGCTATTACCTTTAAATCTGCACATATGGCCCATGCATATTCATTATAACGGATATGCTCTAACAGAACTCGCATATTTTCGTATGATTTCTTCATATGAACTGCGTGCGTTATAGGTACAGATGGATATTTATTACCGTTGTTTACCAATACCGCTTTTAAACTAAACTTAGAGGAATCAATGAACAGGCGCCAATCGTTTGGATCATGTTTCTGTCCTGACGCGTCAAACAAATTCTTGACATCGGAGCAATATATCAACTGCCTTTCTTGACGAAAACAGTGTGCGAGGACTTGTTGCCGTTTTCGGTAAAAGTAATGTTAACATCACCGTGGAGAAGATTCCATCCTTTTAAGCTTGACGCTAAGAGTTCTGACTGGGATTTTGACAGATTTAATTTTCGAACTAAGTCATTAAGTTCGGCCTGTGTGATCAAATGCGGCGCTGTTGAACATCCTGGCAGGTCAAACGAAGGATCGGAACTTTGCACGCTTTCTGTACCATCCCTTTCAGAATCGGTGGATTCGACTTTTTCATCCAAAGACCAAGATTCTGGTGGAACTGGGACAGAAAGTTCATCACTATGCTTAAGGGGCCGCATGGCTGATGGTAAATTAAAATACTTAACAGTATGTTTCGATTTTGGTCCAATACCTTTAATATTTGTGAGGCAAAAATAGCAATCAGTAGTATGGTCTCTCGGTTCTCTCCAAATCATTGGTACCGCAAAAGACATTTTACGGTTGTCGCCTCTTAACCAACCTGTTAACAACGTTACATAAGTCTAACAACATATATGAGGGGCCCATAGTTTATCTTGGTCGCCAACTTTAATTCCAAAATAAAGTTCCTATGCTTTCAACACAAGGAGTAAAAGTACGTTTTTGGGATTTAAAAGTTAGCTCTCCGCACACATAACAAAAACTGTTCGCACTATTTACACACTTTCTATTCATTGTCCATAAAGCTAGTCTCGATCACAATAAACTAAAAACAATACACCGTTTTAACAAAAATTAACAGAACTCAGAACATCTCAGTACTCTTCAACACAGAAAACGTAACTGACTCGGTTGCTATTAGTCTACTAATAAACGCAATATGCTCTCTAAACATAGAGCTCGCATATATCTAATAAACAGGAATAGACAGGTCCTAACATCATATACATATGTGCGTCATCGCATAATCGTTACGTATTGTAATTGATAAAAGTAGATGTTACCGAATATCTATGATAGAAAAATTCTGTTTTTAGATTTGATTTAAGGGTCTCAAAATACATAAGATACACCCAAAAATTGTCATGTCACAAATCCTGTGTTTGTCAGTGTATTCACTTACACATACTTGAAGTACGTAAAACAAAAACCAAATGAATATAAATCAAAGCTTAGAAAACGAATGTCGAAATGCCCTACCCTACCCTTACTCATTTAGATCGGACCAGCGATTGAGCGCTTCTGCGCCAGACGCCTCACATCAAGTTCGGTTAAACAGACTTTCTGATAATTTCTATTCACATATAAATCAATAATTATAAAGTTGATGGTAATGGAGCACGGGAGACGAAACGTCATATAAAAATTCTAATTATGCCTCATACAGGAAATCCGTATATCTCAGAAAATAATTTGAATTTCTAAACTTTCCAAGTTCGATTTTTTAGTTCCATCAATACGACTCATATCTCTTGCCGACATCCCAATCATCAAAGTTTAATCTTAACCTCATTCTGGTGAAGTTACCTAAATGGGTAACCCTTATACATTTATTGAAGAAATTTGAAATACCTCTCAGAGCATCATCACATACATATAAGGAAATTTTGATGAGACTAGTAAGAGAAGTAGCCACCGAAACTCTGCTACAGCTGCACTATTCTGAATAAGTGTTTCAAGTGGTTTTCCCTTTTCAGGTATTACTACGACAAAAACATAATGTCAAAAGTGCACGGTAAAAGATACGCCTATAAGTTTGACTTCCACGGCCTGATGGCAGCATGTCAAGCACAAGCTCAAGGCCAAACCGCAGAGTTGATGTCTCCAATGGCTTATCACCACAAGTATCAACCACATCAAAGCGACCTAGGAGCCGCATTGTATCCAACTACTCACAACAATAACAGGTAAATGGTAAATGTGAATAAATGTGTTACAGTGACGTAACTTGCTCCAGAGGGGCCCTATATCAAAGCTAGTTGGAAGGCATGGGGTACAAGGGGGAAAAAGGAGCGAGGCAGCTGACCCCTTCCTTCTGGCTCGGTCAAAATTAAATTAATATTTTTTTATAAAATTTAAATTGTTCCGGTACCGAGATCTCCACAAGCTGAATCAGTCTATTAAATTAGAAATTACTAGGATTAGTTGAATTCTATGTTAGATATAACCTTAATCATTGTATATGTTACGTGTGTCAAATTCGAACTTCATTGTTGGGATCTGGGAAACGATATAGCGAATGTCACACGATCAGTTTTTATTGTGGTCCGTACCATTAGTATTTGCTGATTATTCCATGATTTCAGTGAATTTCAAAGTAACATTTTGCATCAATAATTGCTGATGTCCAGGCTACAAGATCAATAAATATCACAATACCGAACCTGTGACATTGAAGTTTTTCTACCAGGTTTTTTGGGGCCGTAATAGAAATAGAATTATAGGCTGTTGCGTTTAGAATTCTTGTATAGCTACAAAGTCAGTTCTTATATACTTTTCGGTAAACAAGTTGAAAATTAGTCATTCCGCAAAATTATGTGACAATTAAAAAAAATTGTTTGCATTTCTGTAAATATTTGCGGTTATCAAAGCTCACGTAGCGTTAGTGAAATCCTCATAGATCCATCACCAATGGTACAAGACACAAAATAATACATCTCTCCTAACTTATGCATGGACTAAAAACAAACTACAACGCTATTTTTCAATAGATCTTATACCTCGCCGGGAGTATTGGTTTTCACTGGCCATCGAAGCGAAGGGAAATTTCCTGAGCGTAGCTTCTAGTTTACTTATTACGTGATAAAATGGGATAACGAACATCATCTGTTAGAATTCGTCACAGTTATCTTTCTCCTTTCCGCATGTTGGTTACAGCACCATATATGAGACACTAGCCTTTTCAAAGTAGATTCCTAATTATTGCGGAGAGGAGGAAGATAGCTGTGACAGATTCTCATAGATGACGCTACGGTATCTCATTTCATCCCAGATGACTTTTAGGGCATGCGAATATAGCATTAGGTGGGCTATTTTCAGGTTAATCAACAATGATACTGCATGGTGACCAACGATTTTATAAAGCATGCTTGACCTATCATTAGAGATCTACTTTTTCTAGGATACCAACGGGAATTTTAACGTCAACGACTACCCAGCATTCTGCTTCTGCTAGTCTGTTTGCACCACCTTCCTACTGGCCATACAGCCCAAGCAGTTTTGATCCAAGAGGACACACCATTTAACATGAATATGTTGTAAACTTCTAGCCATTTTAACTATAAATCTTGTAAATAAATTAATAAATACATATATAATGATAGCTGGTTTCTGATACCATTCGCTTATTCACAAACGTCAATACCTTTTTTTGAATGTGAGAGCTTTCCAAATATCTTTAGTTGTTAGTCATGCAGCAAATGTGTAACAGCCACTGCAAATGACCCAGTGACAACTGAAAGGCCGAACTATGTGGAAGTTCATGAGAAAGAAAGGAGGAAGTGTGTTTTTTTAACTTCAATAAAAAGTAGCAGGTAAACAGTATTGGTACATCGGCATCGAAACCAAACATTTCATTTTCGGTTTATTATCATATACAGGAATTCAAAACAACTACAATGCCTCAGTATGAATCTGGACATCCTCTTCGTCCGCGGTTCCCTTATGAAAAGACGTTTGTGAAGCGTCTGGCATGCACAATCTCGTGACAGCCTTTTTTCAAGCAGCATATTTTCATTTTCCTCTTGAACCGTCAAAGCATCTGGCTTCGCTGTTACGTCTGCTGCTTTACCTTCATTCGCAGGCTGAACTACGTCATCCAGTTTGAGGTAGTGGTCCCACGAAGAAAGAGGGATCAGATATTCTTCAGTTCCCAGGGGATGACTGGCGCCAGCACCGATCAAAGTTACCAAGTTGACCATTGAAGGGTTACTGTCGCCTAAATGGACTCCATCACCTACGGATGATATTCTTGTAGTTTGATTGAATCGAAACTACGGAGTGCCTAAGTACCAGAGACGAAAGCCTGATAAAGATCGGGTACCTTGAGTTAGGAAGAATTTCCGTCTCTGCGAACGTATTCCATGATACTTGAAAAATAATAAAAATAAATAAAACCAAATCTGTTGTGTCGTTCAGCGCTATTTTTCGTAAGGGATCACAAGGAAAAAGTATCATTTGTTAGAATATGTAGCTAACATTTTTTGTTTAAATTCAAATTCTTTTATTATCCTAAGTGACATTACAAAGTATGTATAGGATTCGTCGGAATAAAGCAAATGAAAGAAAGTTTTGGCGTCACACATCCCCACGGTATCTGCTGTTTTTTCATTTCTGTGAATTTTGGAAGCATATTCGTAAAGGAGGTGGGTTGATAAGTGCCATTTTTCGCCCATAACACTCTAAAAAATAAGAAGTTCGATTCCAGACTATTATTGAATTTATTTGTGAACTTCAAGACGTGTATTATTTCATTATATAATATTTACGGTATAAATAATGTAATATGCTTCAGAAATTATTGCCAAGAAATAGAGTATTTAGGGCTTTTTGTGCATTTTTGTTGTTTTTCGATCTTTGAATCATGCTTTCCGTACGAAGCGTTCCATGAAGCACATTAACTTTAACGCTCAGTGAGTCTACTTATTATAAGCTTGTATATGAGTATTTTTTTTAATTCTGTGAGCGCATAAATCTAAAAATACGTAATATATGCTGCGGGAGAGTGTGAGTTACGCTGCGTGTTCAGACATGATTTTTCGCACTTGAAAAGTATTTACGTAGTAAATGTATGGGTAGGTCTGATAGTGATTCGAATGAAGAAGACAAGGAAGAAGATTAGTAAAAAATATATTAAGTGTATGAAAACTGATTATCTTATATTATTGTTTAATAAACATATATAACACTCAGTTATTTAATTTATGTATACTACCAATTTCAGTTTTCATTTGAAATAAGTATGTTTTCTTCTTTGTTATGGAGTATACTCTTCATAAATATATATGTCATATCTATTCGCTGATATGCTGAAAAATGCCTCTTATCAGCCCACCTCCTTTGAATCGTACTGGCTCTCATGTGCAGAATTCCAGCGGGCGCTCAGTGACCCAGGTATTACAAGCACGTGAAAATGACCTCCTAATGTCACTTACCGATCACGTTATACAGAATACGTCACTTGCTGTACGTTGAGGTGACGTCTATTATTTATAGTGAATAACCAGCTTCAACTTCTTCAAAAAATCGTATACTGTGTCTTACCAGTATATTATATAGACGGAGAACCATATGCTATAAATTGTAACACTGGCTAGCGGCGAAATACAACCTATTAGTGAACCCCCCTCCCCCTATCCCACACTTTATCAGCTTACACGACGTATGGGGTGAAAAAACTAAGCTAATATTGCCATTGTCACACCCTATGAGCTGTGTGTAAAATAGTAACGGGTAACACACTTGGTACTATATACGGTGAGACTCAAACTTTGCTGACGTCGTAATTTGTACGAGAAAGAAGTGCGAGAGGCGTACAATATGTATGTTAGAGAGACTGCGCTGATAGCAGCGCGGAAAGCCGCAGCTGCATCCATAGCTTCGTCACTCGGCAACGAGGTGCTTCTATCTCTTTCTAACACACGTATTGCACGTTTCTCTCTCGTACACATCACGACGTCAGTGGTATATGGATTTCACTGTATACACATAACATGCTAGATAACTGAAGTGACATTAGCATAAAACTGTTTTCAAAATGGCCTATTCTCCTATAGTTTTGAGAATGCTCAGTAAGGTATTGGAGTAAAGAGAGCAGCAAACCGCGATTGTCGCTCACTGTCAATTGTCATTTCATACAGCGTTGAAAAATTGAACGTAAGCATATTTTCAATAATACATAACACATTAAATATATTGCAAAAATTTGATATGTATTTTGTTTTAATAAATAAAGTATTTCATATCGCAACGCTAGAAATGTAAATTGCTTTGAGTGAACGTCAATTAGGGATGGATTGAGATAATTGTTTCCCTGGCCGATGACTTATTCCATTTTAAATACTTAGGCAGAATTGATTCTCAATTAAAAAACGTCGTACATATAAAAATATATATAATTCAAAAAGAATATCGGAAACACGTCATAATAAAGTACTACATTACACGCACACAATCCATTTGTGTGTCTGTTTTTGTAGATTTACTAAATTATATATAAATTTCGTCAACGTACTCTCTACTCCTGAAAACTGTTTATATCAAGGATTCATCTCCATGCTATACTATCACTTGAACAAATAAAGAGATGTTTAACATGGAGATGGTTTTGTAGGTGGTGGACGGTCTCTGATTGTCGCTCGCGAAGGTACCACCCGGCGGATCTCGTAGGCGGGCTGGCGGGGCCAGAATGTGTGGTGCATGCTGCATGCGCACGTGTTCCCTCCGTGTGGCGTCCCCACTTTTTCCCCGGTATGTATCCATTTATAGCTCCAACGGTACCTCATGGGTGTTTAAACTTTAGGCCTATTCGTGGTAGCTGGAGTATATAAAAAATTGTGGTTATTTCACTAACAATATTTTAAACGCATAAGAAGTTCCTATCTTTAGTTGATCAACAGTTGCGCCATTGAGTATTATTGCACATTGATCTAAAATCTTTGGAAAATACTTTTGAGTTTCTACAAGAATGCACATGGAAAAGTATTCTCATTTTTAAGATAATGATGTAAATATCTATATTAACCTGGTTTAGTGTTGTCGGCAAAGTTCCTGAAGGTCTTGGGACTAAGGTCGCTACATTTGACTCGAATCACCGTGATCTCCGAATCTGTCAGCTTCAGATAAGTGCTGCCCGTATCACCTTCCAGTTGTGCTACGGTATCATCGTATTTATCCACTGCACAGGAACTGGAATAAGCGTATCGAAAGTTGATACCATTCGAATGCTTGAACGCGTTGTATTGTCCGAGCAGTTTCCTCGAATCGATTATATCCTCGATGTTACGGTAGTTTTCATCGTTTGCCGATGTCTCGCCTTTTGAATCCGCCATAAAGCGATCATATGAACTTGAAATTTTAAATTTTTTTAAGCCGATGGCCAATTATTTGAATATGTCAAGGAATTTTGGAAATTGACACATGTCTTAACATCTCTCTGCTTACTGCACAGAACATAAAAATACCCTAAATAAACAAAGGCGGGTAGGTAACATTCAATAGCGACAGCGATTTTTTTCATATCGCGATGTGCATAAATAAGGCATATCCCGGTTGGGCCACCGGTGCATCGAGTTAGCCAATCCCCTAATTCCCGCTGGAACGACCGGTTGTACATCAGTTTTGTTTTTATTGATATACAACCAGTCGTTGCAGCCGGCGTTAGAGGGCGCAACATTGGCTAACTAGATGCACCAGTGAATTAAAGGATACGCCTATAGTTTTCTAAGTATAAACCTGGTTTCATCAAAACATACGAGATATACAATGATTGAAGCTTCTAGCTGGTAAACCTCCCCCATTTTTTTATGGTACGCCACTGTCATAATCACCCAGCATAAGCCTTGAATATGGCGGCTTTCTTGTATCTTTCTGATCTCTATTCTCACAATGCACGTTGGCTCCGCCGCATGGCTTGTCAATTGCCCAGATGTCATGTGTCACTTACGGCAAACATTTGTTAACCTAACAATGCAAGTGATAAACTGTGTGATAAACAAAACGATTTTGCTGGTTTATCTGGTTTAATCAAGGTGTATCATTAGTTTAAACTAATTCCGAATGAATATATTCGTGTAACAAGCGATTACATTATCAAGAAAAGTATAACAAAATGTTTTCCATTTGTAAACAGAGCCATCCAGCCACTGGGGTGGAACATGCAATATCATGTTATTTTTTCAATAAAGTTGAAAAGTCCTTAATTACTGCTGGTGCCAATATAATGAAAGTATTTAGATTGATCCCAGATATTGATCAGAAAGCTAAAACAGAAAGATATTCAGGTATGTTGAGGGGCTGTTAAATGTCATTTGAGTTGCATTTAGAACAGCTTTTTTACATGATTTTGGAAACTGCTACCAGCTTTCATTGGGTTCAAATGCAAAGCATATGTCCTGGATTTAGTTTTTGTCTGATAACTGAAGCTCATTGCCCCTGGATGTTCCTATACAGATGAGTGTGTTTAGCTGTTCTAAAAGCATCTTTCAACAAAGCTTTCTATGCATTTAATTTCCTTAACTTATGTCATTATATTAATTACTATTTCTATGTAGGGTAGGCGTAAAATCGCATTGTTGACATTATAATTGTATCATTCAAATATCATGTATATTCCCTGCAACTTGTTTACATATTATAAAATCATCTATACTAGATCCACATAACAGATAGACCCCACGTAAACAAGACTTTGCTGTGCTTCAACTACTTGGCAAAGCGGCATGGGGGATCTGAATTGACCAATGAGGGCTGCTTTGTCCACCTGTTGTCTGACAAGGTGGCGGCGTTTGCGTGAACATCAATTGACAGGCTTTCCCTACCCACTATTATTGCTATTGTTACAATATTGTAAGGTATTTATGTAAAAACATTATTTTCAGAGTTCTTTCCCCCAAAGTCTAAACTGGAATGTGTTGCTCAATATCAGCTTTATGGAAACATACTATCTCTACAATCTGTAACTTTTGCAAATTCTCAAAGGGATGCCTTACTGTTGGGTTTTGCTGATGCGAAGCTTTCAGTTGTGGAATATGATCCAGAAAACCATGACCTTAGGACCTTGAGCTTGCACTACTTTGAAGAAGAAGATATGAAGGTTATTATGTTATTCCTTGTCTAACAACAAACTTCACTAGCATTGCTATTGATTGGCTCAATAATTTTCCAAGCACATATATAGAAAATGCCACAAACAGCTTGAAACAATAGAAGTGCTTGATGTGTTTATCAATTTTTCAAATTATAACTCAGAAACAGTAGTCTTTTTCACAAGTATCCATTAGGTTTCAACATCTACTCAGGTGAACAGATGCTTAGGAATAGGTGGTAATAATGAATTGGGTGTAAATTGGATAAAACTCATGACCATATTCAGGAATCTTTATACCAAACATAGTCAAAAACTGTTCTGTATCTTGTTTTATTCCTATGTGAAATATAGTCATGATCATTAGCAGTCATTTTGCTTTGTTTTTCTTGTATGCAAGGGTACTTTCCTAAATAAGAGCATTGTTAGGAAGTATGAATCCACGATGTACAAAGTACCACAACAAAATATAGCTCTTTATAGATCTAACATTGAATTGTGTGTCACTTGTCAATATGGGGCATTTTGAAATATCACTAGATAATCAGCTATTGACAAATATTGGTTTTACTGGTGTTGAATGAATAAGGTATCATTTGTGTATAAATTTATTAAAATCTCAACTATTTTAGGATGGATGGACTCATCATCACCATATTCCAATGATACGAGTGGATCCAGAAAATCGTTGTGCTGTAATGTCAATTTTTGGCAGAAAACTTGTTGTGCTACCCTTTCGACGAGAAAGTTCCATAGAGGACAATGATGGTGATGTTAAGCCTATATTGGGTGCAACTGGCATTACAAAAGCACCCATACTGTCATCATACATGATTGTACTCAAAGAAGTTATTGACAAAGTAGATAATATCATTGACATACAATTTCTGTATGGATATTATGAGCCTACACTATTGATATTGTATGAACCTTTAAAAACATTTTCTGGGTAAGCACAAATTTAACTCGATAATAATAGATATTCAGTTTTGCACTACTTGACATTTTATCTTTATATAATAAGATAAAGTTGATTTAAAATATGTGTCTTGCAACATATTTTTAGATTCAATTTTATAACCAAATTGTAACAACAAATTATTATACTTAAACACCTTTCACAGACGTGTTGCTGTGAGAACAGACACATGCGCAATGGTAGCTATATCGTTGAATCTTCAGCAAAAAGTGCATCCTGTGATTTGGAGTTCAACTAATCTGCCATTTGATTGTGTGAGAGCTGTTCCAATAAAGAAACCTATTGGTGGAACACTCATCCTTGCTGTGAACTCTTTAATCTATCTGAACCAGAGTGTCCCTCCTTATGGTGTATCTTTGAACTGTATTGCTGAGAATAGTTCAAACTTTCCATTGAGTAAGTAAACCTTTCAGTGTAAATCAAGCTAGCCAGGGATTTTATCATAAATTTTCTAAATTATCAAATCTTCCTTCATAATCTGACTATTGTTTTGACTACATGTCTTAACTCCTATGTCACTACTTCCTATGTCACTGGGTGAGGAAGTATTGTAATTTCGAAAAAATTTGAATATGATATATTATGGTTTTTGGATATCATGAAAACTCATGTCACTCATTTTCGTCGGTCTGTCTGTCTGTCCGCTAATCCTTGGATTGCCACCAGTAACATGGGAAGCACTGTTTGGATTTGGATGAACTTTTTACACAAGCTCCTTTTTATGACAAGGATGAAAAAGCTTTGTAGTTTTTGAAAATCGGACATTTTCAGAAATTTCTGCAGGGGCGGGGGGTAGGTTTTATGAAAAATGTTTGATGTTAGTATATGTATACGCTCCCACCCTCCATAATTCTATGCACTTGTTAGCCATATTTCTCACATAATAGATTTCCCCGTACATTTGCCTTTAAAACTTTGAATGATAGAGAAACGTTTTCAATCGGTATAAGCCTGCTATCTAACCTCACCGCCCGGCGTACCGATTCAGCAGGCTATTCTATCCGTACTGCAGCGCACGAAACATATATGTATGCGGATCGAACGATGATTTCCTGCCGCGGTGGGCGTTACCAGCAGATATGGAAAGGGACAACGTTGCCAGATGGACGAGAACTACCAGTAGGATGGGGAAAGAATGTCTATGAACAACTAATTGTATGGGTCTGTTTGACTGACTTGATCCGTTTAATTTCTTTGTTGTACATGTTAGTAACTGCCTTCTTTTTTGCCAGAGGATTTAAATTGCGCTGAACTTAATCCTTTATAAAGTTATGGCAAAGTTACATAGGAAACCTACTTGACGCCTTTTTTTCTGAATTTATTTCTTTTGGCCGGCTCTTGCCGAGCCTCACAGACAAACTTGTCAAACTATAATTGCTAGTGAAACGTGAACACCCTACTATATGACGTGTTTCAAAGTTCATCTAATTTTATTCAAAACTCGTCATTAGACTTTCCTTCCCATAACGATCATATATTCCTGTACTTAGGTTTTGTCCTGTTGTGTATAAAAAACCTCAAATGTCAAAAAACTATTCTTATTTGGAATTTATTGATTTTGGTAATTGTTACAGTAATTTCCAGAAAAAACTCCATGTTTCTCTGGATGAATCAAACCACATATTATATATGTTTAAAATCGCTCTGAATTGTATGACGACTCGCAGCAGTTTTTTAACCATATGTGGGTTGATTCGGCCAGAAAAGCAATGGTGATTATCAACATGAAAACCACAGAATAAGTAACATTAATTTCCAGAAGTCATATCTTAATTGGAAAATTTATAAAAGCTTACGTTTTTAGAGCCGCAGGAAGATATTATGATAGCTCTGGATTGTTGTCAAGTTGGATTTCTTGAAGAGGACACCTTGGTATTATCTTTGAAGGGCGGGGAGCTTTATGTATTGACACTTTTAGCTGACAGTATGCGATACATTAGAAGTTTTCATTTTGAAAAGGCTGCAGCTAGTGTGCTAACTACTTGTGTAAGTATCAAACACTATTTACTGCTATATAGTTCTTTTTGCGTTTTTTGGCACTGGACCTCATTTTATGTTTGTGGGTCATTTTTTTCAGATATGTGTATGTGAAAATAACTTCCTTTTCTTGGGATCACGCCTGGGTAACTCACTGCTGTTGAGATTTACTGAAAAGTGTAATGAAGTAATAACTTTAGATGACACAGATCAACCAGCTCCTCCAAAAAGGACAAGGACTGGTAATGAGCAGACAGATAAATATTTGGATTCCTTGAATGATTGCATTGCAAGTGATGTTTTGGATATTAGAGATCCAGAGGAGCTAGAAGTGTATGGCAATCAAAAGCAAGCAGGTAAAACATTGTTATGCTTGTCATTTTTATATTCTGTGATTTGCTATTTGATTAGTCCTTGCCATTATCTCCCTAGTGCTGACTATGAGGCTTTTCCAGTTTTACAGTTGTTATTTTGGGCATATGTAGCTATGTTTGGTATATATGCTTTTATGCAGGTTCGGTATCGAGTTTTGGATTTATCCCAGAATTTCATACTTCAAAACAAAAATAGGGACCCCATTTGTTTGGAGAGAGGTAGAAATTTGGTTATTTGAAAATAACCAGGTTAAATATAAAATAAGGATGTAATGCGTCCAAAACTATTTTATTTATCATATTTTTAGGTGTACAGATCACAAGTTACGTATTTGAGGTATGTGACAGTTTATTGAATATTGGTCCATGTGGTCAAATTTCAATTGGAGAACCAGCATTCCTAAGTGAAGAGTTCCACAGGTAATCGAAAAAGATGTTTCACATATTCACATTTACTCCAATAGGGAATATGCATGTTTTTTTGTATCTTCTCTTGATTGTTTACGTTAATATAACACAACAAACACAATTTTATTCATGGAAATGTCTGTATTTTCTTTCTACTTTTTATTTTGAAGTGCAATGTCAATGACGGTGATTTAAATGATATATTTTTCGCTCGCTCCACAGTGACGTCACAATTCAAGGTTTGTAATTTTATGTTTGGTTAACTTGTCGTCACGATTTGTTGTTTTGTATTTGTAACAAGGGCTTCACCTGTTGATTAACTTCACGTTTTGATGCCTGTTGACGTCAGAAATTGATATCTTTGTCCGTTTATAACTTTAGTCATGAACCTTAACCTTATTAGTGCCCTGTACTTCTAGCTTCCTGGATTTCCCCCAATGAATAACACTCTACTTATATAATTACATTAATAATGAATACCCTTTTTATGCTTTCTTAGCAACACTGATTTAGATCTGGAACTAGTAACAACTTCAGGCTATGGTAAAAACGGAGCATTGTGTGTCCTCCAGAGAACTATGAAACCTCAAATTGTCACTACATTCACTTTACCTGGCTGTTCAAATATGTGGACAGTTAAAAGTGGTGAGGATAAGCATGCATTCCTGATACTGAGTCAAGAAGATGGAACAATGGTGAGATTTGACTAACTTTTAGAATAGCTGAATATAAGTCAACAATATGTTTCATAAAAGTAACATACGAGGGGTATCATAAAAGAAGTCTACCTAGCCACGAAACAAAAGACCTACAATTTTTATGAAAATTTTATTTTTCTATATTATCCCTCAATACATTTCCGTCATTTCTCCTGCAGTGAACTTATACCTTTATAAAAAATGTTTTTTTGATCCCAGAAAAGTCATTGGCGACTGCTTTTGGGCCTCCTCGAGGATTTTTCTTTAGCAGTTTAAAGAAATAAAAGTCAGATGGAGCCAAGTCCGGAGGATCGTATAGGTCAACGAAGCTGCATTCCTGAAAATTGATCTAATTTTGGCAGTCTTATGCATGGTCGCATTGTCATGCAGCAGAAACACTTCTCGATTGGAAAAATCAGGTCTTTTCTGTTTGGTTACTTTACGTACATTTTTCAGTGTGTTCGCATAGACGTTCACATTTATTGTTGTCCCTTTTGGCGTATATTCGATGAGAAGGATGCCCCTGATGTCCCAAGGTTATAAATTGTCCAGCAGGGGCTTGAGTCCGTGCCTTTTTGGGAGGTGGAGACGCTTTATGAACTATCTGCTTGGATTCTGGTTTTGTTTCTGTACCTTACTAATGATAGATACTTTCACACGATGACCGAGAGCCATGGCTTCAACTTTTTGAGGAATTTCATCATTTGTTGCTGTTTTGCGCCTTCCACCTCTGGGATCGTCTTTTATGGATTCACGACCCATCGAAACTGTTTGGACCAACATTTTATTGTGTAATAGATAGTGCATCATCCCCACAGTCGGCAACTATTCTGTCAACAATTGTTTTCGGCTGTTTTTTTTTTGTCAGAAATTTTGAGACTGCGATACACTAATTTTAAGTTACTTATTTTTACTCACAATTCACTTTACAAATTGGAAACTAATTATCAAAATTAACTCAAATTTTACAAGTAAGGCTAGAACACATGCCGGTATTTGCATCTATGGGGCCTATATACCAGGAGAACTGACGAAATGAGGAAAAAACGACCCCAAAACTTGATGCCTGACTGAGGGCGCAGTGATCGCAAATTTTGGGGAAATATACAGTGAATTTCATAAACTTCATTGTTTCAACTTTTACAGGTGTTACAAACGGGACAAGAAATTAATGAAATCGACAATACTGGATTCGCTACAAATGGACCAACAGTGTATGCTGGAAATCTCGGCAACAATAGGTATGCGTCATTTTTGTTGAAAATTGCTTCTATTTGGATACGTAAAATAAACATATAATTGATATAAATAATTTTTAAGGTATATTGTTCAAGTAACAACAGTAGCAGTAAGACTGCTTCAAGGAGCTAATCAGTTGCAACACGTGCCGATGGATTTAGGATCGCCCATCGTCCATGTGTCAAGCGCGGATCCTTATATATCGGTGATGACAACTGACGGTCAAGTTATAACTTTGATGTTGAGGGAGGCCAGAGGCTCAGCTAAGTTGGTGGTCAGCAAATCGACATTGGCAAATGTTAGTAGATATCTATAATTTTATGTAATGGGGCAAAGTTTTTATTTTGTGCAATTATTTCTCCAAATTAAAAAATCAATAGAAAACAAAAACTCTTGAAAACCATACATGATACAATGCTGAAATTTTAAATAATGTGTTAGGGACTAATACCGAGCATTTTACCTAATGTTTAAGATGGTCGGTTCGCTACAATTGTTTGATATTTGTCTACTGTTTTTTCGTTTTCTCGAGTTTACTTTCCAACATTTTGAACTCACAGTCGCCTTAGTCGTAGATTTTGAAAACAGACGTATAATATATTAATACTTTTAGAAAAAAGGTCCAGTGAACTATATTGCTTCATAAAGAAACTGGATTATGTGACCTACTTATTTGACAAAGTCATGCAGTTATCAATAATGTAGCCATTTAGCACATTTTACATACTAACTAGTCTAGGACAGTTTCAAACATAATTGTATCTTCAGTTTGCATGCTAACTTTATAAGCAGTTTAGGGCATTTCAGTATGAAATATTTTTTTTGTAAACTTTAAGGCTCATCTGTGACCGTGTAAAAATTTCAGCTCTAAATATGTATGGTATACACAAGACTATGAAGATATCTTGAAAAAAAAATATTTTCTTCGCAAGAAAAGGTGATAGACACATGCTTTGTTTTAAAATGTGTGTAACAACGTATGTTTTCGAATATCATAGCGAATCTGCTGAATTACTCACAAATACGAAACGTTTAAGAATTTTTTTGGAAGAAAACAACGTAACCCTTCGCATAAAAATAACAATTATGCACTTTAAACGAACCCTGTATATTGCTCAGTAAACTAGTAGTAATGGACGGAAGACCAGTGTTTTGGGATAAGCACTTAGAAATTCTCAAAAACTACTTGACCAATCGACTCCAATTTTGTTGTGGTTATTTAGAAGTATGAAGCCTACGGATTTGAAGAATTTCAAGTACATAGCTGCGTGAAATTATCGTCGCATTAGTAACAAGTGCCAAAACCTACATTTTGCTCCCGTTTTCGGCCATAACCTTCTTACCATTAGTCGGATCATCTTACGTGTGGTCGCATTCTGTAGGTCTCATAAATACATAAAAATCAAATCGTATTTAAGGAGGTTTTTTCGTTCCTGCCAACACTCAATTGAGTCCCAAAAACACGTTTTCTCATTCTTTGTTGTCGAATAAAAAGTTTTCAAACAAAAATTGGTGTACTCTTTTTATGAGTCATGTTTTAAATACCCCCTTGAACAACTTGCATCAATAAAACCAGACTTTACATTATTTCGCGAACCAGGGGTATTTTCGTGTAATATGACTATAGTCTCACGTAACATATGATTTTCGGTCCGGGGTAAGGGCCAACGGCTAAATTAAAGCGATTCCGAAATGTGCACTGGGTTGCGATCACAGAACATCTGATCCAAAAGTAGGCCTCTACGCCAAAAGCACGCTCCAATATATCGTTTCGACTGAACTGTGTTGGGACAAATTTTTATAGTTTTAATGAGACCACTAGCGCTTCACTACGATAACAACCACTGAATGGCGCGCATGTTAAAAAAGGTAGTTACGCTGCCGCACCCTGTATATATATATATATATGTACAAGAGCTATTATAATAAGTTGTCAAATATTATTACGCAATAGCTCAAAGAAATGAGGATACCGTGTACGGAAACGCTCATTGTTGCAATATGAGGAATTTTTTTTTCATGAAAATCCAAAATACTACATTTATGGTTTTGACAAAACCTCTGTATTTTTGACGCCATTTTACTACATGGAAAATTGTACTAGAAGTTGTTTCGAAGGCGTGGGAAGTATAGAGTCAATCTGTTCGACATTTTTTTGTTTTTAATTAATTGTTAAAAATTGTTATCACGGAGTGTCCAATTTTTTATTTAAGCCTTTCACAATGCAATCGAAAAAGTTTTACAAAAACCCATCCAGTGGAACTAGGTTGCAAGATTTTGATATTTTTATGTGTTATGGTACTCCACTGTTTTATTTCGAAGTTTACTATTTTTTTTGTTTCTGATTACTTCCAGAATCCGCCAGTTTCTACAATTTGTATGTACAAAGACACTTCAGGTTTGTTTACGAACAAAATTCCAGAAGAGTTCACGCAAATTCCGCAACATGTGATCAACGAATCTGATCTGAAGTGTGAAGTGGAAAATGAAGATGATATGTTGTATGGCGACACTGACTTCAAAATGCCTTCTTTGAATCTTCCGACACCAAAACCAAAGGTTGTTATACAAAAAATAATCATAACTTTTCGCTCATTTTGCAAAACCTACGTATCTGAAAGTAAGGTCATAAATAGCATTCAACAATTTTTGATGTCGTGCTATTAACTCTTTGGTGCCCTCATGATTCTTTGTTTTTTTTAGGTTTACTACAATTGGTGGAAAAAGTATTTCACACCAAGTAAACCAACTTACTGGTTATTTGTGGTGAGAGATAACTCGAATTTGGAAGTATATTCGATTCCTGACTTCAAACTAAGCTTTTACGTGACAAATGTCTGTTTTGGCCATAAGGTAATATACAGTGAAATTCAATTACGTTTTTCGGTTCCGCGTTAAATGGGAACGAGAGAGAGAGAGAGATGGGGGGGGGGGGAGAGAGAGACTCATGTGATATTCCATACAAATTCCCATGCAATAGAATTTCAAATTGAAAGGTATCTCGTTAATATATCGTACCCAACTTGTTTTATTACAATTCAACGTTAACGCAGCCTTATTGAAAAACCCTCTACTTAGGCAGGCATGAATGAAAATAGTAAATAAATCGTTTGATGTGAAGTACTTACCGAGAGTGGTTGGTATGCTGTTTTTCAAATGATTACTTATTGAAAAAAAAAACGCTAATAACACTGGACTGGACATGAATCTGTTGCCACGCCTTTTTAAGTCACAAATCCTCGAGATTTTAGTCGGAACTTGTTTTGCTTGACCACCACACAAAAGAAAAGAATCTAACAGTAATGACAAAACCTAATTAATGATACACAGTCGTTAATAAAATACTATAACATTAGTGTCCAAAAGATATCAACACAATACTGAGTCGTTGAGAACGAAAGATATAATACGTGTAAAATTATACAATCGATGAACTATGAAATTTACCAAAAGAAAATCATTGAAGAAAGGTTTGGTCTAGGAATTGGTACTCTATAATCAATAAATAGAAATTCATATTATTGGTGAGTGATCAAAATAGTAAAACAAAGGTTACGTGATTTTGGCACGTGACACTGTTGAGGTGGAAACCTTGCCTTAGAGTGTTCCGAGATTCAATGTTGTCAAACCAATGCCGATATGTTCCAACAGTTGTAGCCATCCTGAAGTTCCAGTTCTATCTAAAATCGAGGAACCATTAAGACTGAGCCGGAATTATTCTGAACCAATTTGACACAGTTCGCGATTCAGAAATTTGTACGCTCAAAGCAAAACCATTGTTTGGGCGTACAAAACAAACTACATCTTATTTCCAGCATGATTTGATCTTGTAAAACAAAACTTTCGGCACACGCCCATAATATAAAAAACAAATAAAAATGTTCTGATTCATACAAAGGGTTTATTAAGTTTTGAAAAAAGGAAGTTATTTTGTCACGCCGTGTACGTATTGCAGGATGTTGCACGCTTTATCTCGTATTTATTGAAAGCGGCGCGCAAAAATGTAAATGAATTTCACTCTAAAACATAAACTCAGCACATTTGTAGTGTGCTTTGCGTATACCAAATATTTTCAGTCACTTTTTGATAGTACCCTAATTTCTTAGGGAAGTGTTTGCGGTTGTCCCTTATATCCACTTATTATTTCCGTTGACACAAAACGTCTGCACGGAAGTTGCGACTTGTTGCTATACTTATATTTGATGATAAATATCTTAGGTTTTAGTGGATAGCCTTGAGTCGGTGACCCTAAACCCAATCTCTCCACCAAGTGACCTGCACATGCAAGAAAACTATCAGGTGAAAGAACTGCTTATGATCGGTTTAGGAAACAACGGAGCTCGGCCTGTGCTGTTAGTGAGATTACAGAAAGATTTGTACATTTATGAGGTATTCAGATTCCCTAGGGGAAACTTGAAATTGCGGTTCAAGAAGATGAAGCACAACATCATATATCAGCCCAATACGTCAGGCTTGATTGAAACTGAAAATTCTGATTTCTTTTCTGTGCAAGACCGAATAGTGAGGCTGCGATATTTTGACAACATCGCCGGTAAGCAAAATATTCAAATATTATTGAAATAATAAATAATGGTAATTTGGTGGCAGATGGTTTATTTCGACTTTTCTAAAGCATCCGATAGGGTTAACCATTCCATACTATTTCCAAATATTACAACTATGGTGTTTAGGGTCGGCTCCTGAATTGGAAACGTAGTTACTTATTTGATAGATCTCAGGTGGTAAGATACAGTGGGTGTATATCTCGTAGTATTCGTGTAAGTTCTGAAATCCTGCAGGGTTCCCACTTAGGCCCATTGTTATTGAAAATATTTATTGATGATGGTGCGAGCTTAGTACTCAGTGAAATTATTTTATTTACGGATGATAAGATTTCTAGAGCTGTTTGGAACAAACATGATGCTGAATTGTTGCAAAGGCGCTTTGACCATATTTCTTATTGGTGCAGTGTGAATGTTTTACTTTTAAATGATGCGAAATATTTCAAAATTACATTAGTCGGTCTCGTTATCCTATTACTTATTCTTCTACCATCAACAGTAGATCTTTACAAACTACGGATTAGATCTAGGACTCCAAGGTTATTATTGACTCAAAATTATAATTCAAGTTTCATATTGAAAAACAATCAGTTGTGCATATAAGGGAACTGATCATTGTGTTGATCTGTCACTTTTTTCTTTTAAAATGTTGTATTATTCTTTGGTTCGTTCGTTACTTAGTTATAATTTACAGAATTAACCAATTAGACCACCTACAGAAAGAGTTTGTAAGAATCTGTGGGTATAAAATGGGAGTATAGTTATACTGATACTCTTCTCTACATGAATATAACTTCTCATTAGCGACGCAGCTTGGAATTTGACTTACTTTTCTGGCACAATATTATGCATGGTCTCATTGATTATCCTTAACTTTTAGAACAAATTTCACGTAATGTGGTTGATAGGTGAATGCGACACCCTGTTGCTTTCTTCTCATTTCATCAAACCAATTATGGTTTGAATGAACCCATAACTCGTCTTCTTAGGTTAGGTAATAGATATACATCTAGAGTAGAAGTGTTTGGACCTTCTGTTAATGAGTTTAAACGAAGTGTTAAGAATGTAAAATTAATCACAATGTAATTCTTTAAATCAAGACTCGTATTTGTAACAAGGGTTTTACCCGTTGATTAAATGAATAAAATTAAATAAATGGTAATTCATGAAATTATATTAGGTTTATCTATTGATCATTTTTACCGATTATATTTAAGTATTAAACGTTTTTAGGTTATAATGGTGTATTTCTTTGTGGAGCCAATCCGCATTGGATATTTTTGACGGCAAGGGGAGATTTGAGAACACACGTTATGTCTATTGATGGCGAGGTACTGAGTTTTGCCGCTTTCAACAATGTCAATTGCCCTCAAGGATTTTTGTATTTTAATAAAAAGGTAACGTTTCTTCATCTGTAATGCATGATTATCTGACATTTTTTTTTGTCTTATTCATAATCCATTTGAAATTGGCTGATTTTAGTCTGAACTACGAATTGGTGTTTTGCCCACTCATCTGAGTTACGATTCACCATGGCCTGTGAGAAAAGTACCTTTAAGATGTACACCTCATTTTGTAACATACCATCTAGAGTCAAAAACGTATTGTTTGGTGACGAGCTTAGCGGAACCTTCCAGCTCATATTATAAATTCAATGGAGAAGATAAAGAATTATCAGTCGAGGATAAAGGCGACAGGTATGAATTCACAGCATGAGGCGATTTGAATCACCAAATGTCCTACCATCAAAATGGTAGACCCATCTAGCAGCTGGAATACCAAGTATTTATAGAGCAGAACTGCAAATTGCTTTGAATGGAAATAGTACAATATTATTACAATAGTATATAGTATGAACCGATACTTTCGTGCCTGAAAATCAGAAAGTTAAGTTTTTACGGATGTACAGCGTGATTTATCTAAACCCGCCATATCTTTAATATCACATATCTCAGGCACTGCTGTATAAATTTTGTTGAAATTTTGCATTACTAACAAAGTTGCTTAGGAGTAACATAAACCTAGATGGACAGGGTCATAGTCGATTTCATTTCTTTGTTGTCTAACAAAATCAACACCTGTTTCAGAAGAATCCTGAAATCTTTGACTGCCTACAAAAAAAGCCAATGAATGATGCTAATTAATTAGCAAAGCAGATTGATTGCGCCTCTCATTTTTTTAGTTGAACATTTTTATGTATTCAAATGAGACAAAACTGCTAATAATATATTTAATTCGGCTAATGATCATAGCACTCGATGCTGCTGTGGGCTTAAAAAATAAGATATTTGAATAATTTTTTACAGGGTGTCCAAATAGTATGTCAAAGCTCAATATATTCGTTACTATTAGAGTTGCAGAAAAAAGTTAAATAGACAAGTTGCAGGCAGAGCTAAGGGCTACAACCTAAAATTATTTTTATCTATAAATTAATGGCAATATACGGGATGATGATGAAGATTATGTTGGCAAACCATTGCTAGTTGGAGATCGTCAAATTTTTCTCCTACCTCCTCACAATATTTTGAGTTTTTCAAACGACCATACCCACTTGCTTGCTTTCCGTTCTCTACTGATGAGTTGTTAATGAGCACGAAACAACGCTTTCTTTGGTTAGTCGTGGTTACAGAGACGTAAAGCAAACATATCCATTTCAACAGTTTAACTTTGTCACTAGCAATTGTGGCCATTGTCCTACGAAGGCACTGCATAAAGCCGTCTATTTTAGGTTTCCTTATCCACTTCAAGAGAGATTCAGTCTGTGCCTGTTTTCGCCAGTGTCATGGGACATAATCCCAAATACAAAATTGGATTTAGACGAATGGGAGCACGTGACGTGTCTCAAAAACGTAGCCTTGGCCTATGAGGGTACACGATCAGGTTTGAAAGGATACATTGCAGTAGGCACAAATTACAACTATGGAGAAGATATTACGTCGCGAGGAAGGGTAAGTCAATGCTACCTGGAACAAGGGAGCATCACTGGGGTCTTATACAGTTTTACTTTCTATGCCAATGATGGCGAAGAAGTATTGTAATTACGAAAAATTTCGTAAATGTGTTTTGGATGTAGGGGGTGGGTGAGAGTACATGTCATTTTTTGGTGCTAGCAATGTATACGCATCCGCCACCGGTAATTGTACGCATCTGTTAGACATATTTCATGCATCATAGATTTCCCCTTGCAAAATTGAGTGATGGAGATATACTTCGATATACGCGTCGGGACAACTCATCCAGCGTATGTACGTCCGAATAATTTGAATGCACAGACACACTGATCCACTGAGCGATGATGCTTGTGTATGTATATCCGTGCCATGCTGCGTTGACACGTTGTTGGGTAGTCGGTACTGTTGGTAAGACGGTAGGCTAGATCCCAATGTTTTTAAATCTGTGGAGACTAATTATATGAGCCTGTTTGACTGACGGATACATTTAATTCCTTTGTTTTACATGTTCGTAGCCAAATTTTTTCTGAGAGGGTCTAACTTTTGTCAAATAGATAAAAAAATATGCATTATCACCTGAAAAATACAATAATTCTTAATGACAAAGCTAACTTAACTAAACTATAACATAACATAAGTAGATGTTAAGCAAATGAATTGGTAGAAGTCACAGATGGTATAACATAGTATACATATTAGAAAGGTTCACATCGGAATATCTTTAAATTGTTAATTATTTTGATAGCATCAGGAAGATACATGTACATTTTCAGACCATTATAAGTTATTGAGTTTTTCGCAAGTGTTGATTCAGATACTACCAATTTAAGATCTTGCTTTCGTCTAATATCGGAACTTAACTATATTTAATATTTCAAATTTAGTTTTATTTAAAAAAATATAGAAGATACGAGTTGCTATTTCTAAAATCGACAGTCATAGACTTGCTTTTAGTCATATATCTTATAGTTCGATTTTTTGAAGTAAGCACTTTTTTAAACAATTTTGGGAATGGATTCACCAAAAGGGAATGCCATAATTCAATTCAAGTGAGGCAAAATAACTATTTTAAGTTGTGCTTTTCTCTACGTTGTACCTAATTGTTCTCATGATAAAGGAAATCTTTGCTAGCTGAGTAAGCAATTTGTCTACAATAAATAAAATCAAGGGAGCATTCAAATGTCATAATTTTTGTCTTATTAACATTGAAAATAAGTAATTGTCACACCATATTTTAATTGTATATCACTCAGCTTTTCTTAATTTAATTTATATGTGTCTTGCCAAAGTATTTTAATATCGTTAGCAAAATCTGTGAATTTATCATTTATTTTAAAATTTGTTATATTTATTATTGATATAGACTAAAAATAGGTTTGGACCTAGTATTGGCCCTTAAGGTACCCCTGCGTTTATATTTAATTTATTTGAAATATCATATCTTAATACTTTTACAATTATGGAGCGATTATTTAAATTTGTTTACGGATTGATGACAGCGTTACTTAGGAAGTGCTTCTTGACGCCATTTTTTGTACTCGCTAAAAATATGTTTATTTTAGATTTTGATCTACGATATCATAGAAGTCGTTCCGGAACCGGGTCAACCATTGACAAAAAATAAATTCAAGGAAATATACGCCAAGGATCAGAAAGGCCCTGTAACTGCTCTATCACAAGTTAAAGGATTTCTAGTATCAGCTGTTGGACAGAAGGTATTGCTTGGATTAAGGTCATCATTTCTGATTTAATTCACATGCAGGTCACATTCACAAATTTTATTTTTGAATAAAAACTTTAATAGAAATTAATGTTCTACTTTTTTTCCAGATTTACATTTGGCAATTGAAAGATAATGACCTAATAGGAGTGGCTTTCATAGATACACAGATTTATACTCATCAAATTTTGACTATCAAGAGTCTGCTCTTGATAGCTGATGTTTACAAATCTATAGCATTATTAAGATTCCAGGAGGAATATAGAACACTGTCATTAGTATCTAGGGTAAGTCATGCTTATTTTCTAAAGATTGTGGTTTATATGAAGACTTATTATAACATAAACATGATGTTTTCGTATGTCCGACCAAAATACAGCTAACCATGGACAGCTGTTGTGTGCTTCTTGGCTACTCATCAGCATGGTCTAGGCTACTGATAATAGATATATCGCCGGTGGGCTTCCGTCTCTGGGACAACGAAGCCCAGATCTACTTTACAGCCAGAATTGTCAGTTATCTAGCTATCACGTGGTGATTGGGCTATTAAACGTAAACTGAGATCCATAACAGTTCCGACTAATAGTAGCTATGCACTCTCTACAGTGGTCGATTCTGGGGAGCTTTGTGCTGTCTTATTTCGATAGACTAATTATATTGTATTAGATTATATAATCAATGTTTGAGCTTCTCTGTTCACAATTGCTTATCATAATTCTTTTTAGGATTTCAAACCATGTGAAGTCTATTCAATAGAGTACATGATCGACAATGCTAATTTAGGATTCTTGGTATCTGATCGAGAGAAGAATTTAGTTTTGTATATGTACCAACCAGAAGCTAGAGAATCACTTGGAGGTAAATACTTGTAATCCATAATTCATGCAGTTAGGAGAGCCTTTTTCAATACCCATTTAATATTTTTTTGCAAGCTTGACCTGTCCGTGTTAGTATGTTAGTATTTGTGGGACAAATCTTGGAATTGAAATTTGAACCAGCTAATATTAACCAGTTGAGCAGAAATTTTGTACACCCGTTTGGTTTACGTCGTACAAAATAAATTAATATCTCAGCTATCTTAGAACTTTGATACATAGGGTATTTCAAATTCCACCCTCACCATTGGGATCTCAGAAACTTTAAGATATACGAAATCGCTTAAATGGGGTCAAAGTTGCGTATTTAGGTAATTAACAAATTACCGCATAGAAAGCCGCGAAACTCAAAGTACTTCCGGAGAGAGACGGAAAAAATCGAATTTTCCCCCCGTTCAAGTAAAACATACCGGTTTGGTTTACTTGATCCCCGTTAAATGGGGTACCAAGGCAGGTTGAGAGAACAAGGAGCAGTAGCGTGGGTAGGACTGAATTTGCCTCTAACAGTTGATCCTGAAGGTTGGTTGGGAGATGGTGCTGTGGACTAATTGGATAGGCTGGCTCCACTGAATGGAGCAAGTGCGGATTCGAATCCCTCCGGCGCCCATTTTTTCTATCTCCCGAGTTGTTGTTTACTGAATGTATGTGCTGTTGCAGATGCGCTCATCCGAAAAATCGTATTTAGGTTACTCATTATTGCTATGTAAAGTTTCAACTTTGAGGACACACTGTATATTTATTATTTAATTCCAGGTCAAAGGCTTTTAAGGAAAGCAGACTTTCATTTAGGGCAGGGTGTAAATACGTTTCTTAAGCTTAGGGCTAAAATTGGAGAACTAGGTGAAGACAAGAAGCATTTCTCAGGTGCAGATAAAAGATATATTACAATGTTTGGTGAGTACTCTTTGACAATTTCAATGTAACTTGTACATTTCTTATGTTTCTGTATTTAACTACTTTGTATTTTTTAGCAACTTTGGATGGTGGTATAGGATATATAATGCCAGTATCTGAAAAAACTTATAGAAGACTGCTCATGTTACAAAATGTTTTGGTTACTCAAGGCGCTCACATAGCTGGACTTAATCCCAAAGCTTACAGGTAAATAGCTTCTATTGTTTCCTCAATATGAATTTTATTAAGTTCATTTTCAGGACATATAAATGTTGGAGGAAGCTACAGCAAAACCCTTCAAAGTCAGTCATAGATGGGGATCTTGTTTGGAGTTTCTTACAACTTTCAATAACCGAGAAAATTGAGGTACACATTAGTAGTTTAGTATACAAACCATATTAATACAGGGTGGAGCGATCGATTAGTCGAAAAGTTGCGGTTAGGTAATTATGGAAACTTGAGGTTACTTTATAACGCATGGGAGTCATTTGGCTAAAATATATCCAAATGGTGGCCTTTGTCGTTGTAGATCCATTTGTAATTACTCCCTTATAGAATGGAGTCTACTTTATTGGACTTAATCGATATTTTGATAATTGATGATATAGGGTGATAAAAAATGGGATGAACATTGAATTGTAAAGAATGAGAAAAATCAATTTTTTCAAATGAACGCCTCCTGTTTTTATAATCTCATCTTCTTAACCAATAAAAATAAGGATGGTTTTATAAAAAGTTTTCTACTTCGCAAATTAGTAGCTTAGGGAATATTTGCAAATTCATACTCGTTTTCGATCCCTCCATACGCTTTTTTTATGGTCAGTTCACCATGATTAGCTATGGCGCCGTGAATTATTAAAAATTAGTATGACTTTTTCATATGTGATGCACTCAAAAAAAGAAAAAAGTAAAAAAGTAGTACAATTTCGTGGTCTCGAACCTCGGTAGTTTGCGCGATATTCACTGCCAGACCATTGCTCTGTCCGCGAGGCTATCGCGGGTGTGCTGATTTTTTTACCAAACAGTACATGCGTTACTAATTGAATGTTGCGCTATTAGCTGCCTGAAGTTTTTGTAAATTGACTTGGATGCGGTATTTAAATAATCAGCATCACATATAAAAAAGTCGTATATTATGAATCATTTTGAATAATTCACCGCGTCATGGCCATCCATGCTGAATGACGATAAAAAAGGCATATGAAGGAATAAAAAACAACTATTCGCAAATATTTCCTAAACTACAAATTTGCAAAGTAGACAACCTTATATAAAAGTATTCTTATTTTCATTTCTTAAGATGGCCAGATTATACAAACACCCGGTATTATTGATTATCAAAATAAACCCCTTCTGTAACGGAGCAGTTGCAAATCGTTCCAAAAATTTACGAAAAATTCCTAGGCTTTTATCGACTTGTATTTGTGGATTTTTACAAAAAAAAAAATTTCTCAAAAATACCTTAAATGCATTTAAAATCCTGCGCAGATTTCAAAAATTGATTAATATGAAGTTCGTTCGATTTAAAACAATCGAGTTAGTTTCTACTTTCGGTAAAACTGGAAATGCCACAATTTTGAAAATATTTTAGCCAAATTCCTCATATCAGTTATACCATGACCTCAAGTTTTCATAATTGTCTAACGTCAACTTTTCGAGTAATCAATGACTAGTCCTACGTGGGACACCCTGTTGATGTGTTTTGCCTTGCAGTTAAATATTATCTGTTTGTTGAATGATTTGTTAGGTAAAACTGCATTGATCTTTGAATCCAACATATTACTGTTTTTTTTTTCAGGTATCAAAGAAAATTGGTACAAAGATAGACGAGTTATTCGAGGATCTTGCAGACATTCAAAAACTGACAAATCATTTCTGAACCCTGTGTATTATGCCTATATAATTAATTTTAATATTATGTATTTGTATAAATATGGGTTATTTTCATTTCTAGTTTTGTGAAGTACCTTATCTTACAACATGAGCATGGCTAATCATGTGTATGGACAAGAATGGACTAGTCTAGGACAAGTCCTATGCCATTTTTCTTGGCCTTGTAATTATGTTTGCTCGAGGGGTAAACCCAATGGCGATCCAGTGTACAACCAGCTGATTGTCCATGAATGTCTGTGGCTGTCCTTGGCTGCATTTTTAGCTGGCCATAGCTGTCCATCAGTAAATAGATTTGGCAACATCGTAAAAGTAGGTGCAGGTGCCTATGCCGCAACAAGGGAGCGTTTAATACAGTTCTAAAATGTACTGAATTTGCATCACCTCTCAAAAGCAACAATCCATACCACTGGGTATGGTTATAGATCAGACTATTCCAAACCAGTGCTAGAATGAAGGATACGGATGCGTGAGTATCCTAAGGGGGGGACCCCATGCAATTTCACCTGTGAGAATACGGTTGCTTCATAAACTTTGATTGGTGCATTCTTGGGGGAGCTTTCGCCTCCCCATTTTTCAAATACAGGGTGTTCCTTAATGACGTGCTATTTAAGGAGGAGATTCTTGAACTCATTTTAAGAAAAAAAATTATACGAACGTATGTCCTAAACGTCTTAACGTTTTTTTGAGATACAGAGCAGCAAAGCTTTCAGAAAAAAATCTGTATTTTATATTAACTGTGATAGTATTGTAGATATCTTTATGATATTTCGTACACATCTTCTGTGCGTCAAGGTGCATTTTCTGATAAACAAACATTTTTTACCTCTACCATTTGCGTTCGTACGGGTTTTTCATTGAATATTTTTGCAGAAAAAATGTCACGCCACTGGTTTCTATTTAAATATGAACCATTTTTGAAATTTTCATTCATTTCTGGGCAAACTAGATCTCTTGTTTTTCTTTCATCCGACGCATGGTCTTCGATTAAAAATAAAAATCGTCTTACTTCGGGGTCAAATCTTTAAAAGCCGGATGCGGTGACTGCTGTATAGAAATCGTTTGTGGATCCGCTAAAAGAAAATTAAGTGTTCAAATTTGTTAAAAAATGAATGAGAATTCCAAAAAATATTTTTTCTCGTCGAATATATCGTTGTTGATATTAGAGGAATTTGATAGCTTGAAAGAAAGAAAACGCACTTCAGTCAGTAGAAATAATTTTTTTGTACATATATCAGAAAATACACCATCGAGCATAGAAGACGTGCATATATATATATATATATACATATATATATATATATATATATATATATATATAACTCAAATATCTTTCTTCAACGAAAACGTTTTTAAAAAGATTTATTTTTGAGAAAGACCAAATACAATGATGTTAATTGAATGAGTTCTGAATCGAGACTGACTGCAAAGTTCATTATACAAACCAAAGTAAAGAACAAATGAAATACAATACTGTAACTGATAAGAAAGGAACGTGGAGGCAAAAGTCCTTGTTCAGCATATTCTTCTCTGTAGACTGGTACATAACTTATATATATATATATATATATATATGTAGATTCTGATGGATCGGTCCTCCACTCATGGGCTTTTTAGAGTCGATAGGTCCTCCGCTCTGATAGGTCCTCCGTATAAGGAGGACCTATCGCAAATTCCACCTATCGGCCCCTCAGGCCCCCCTCTGTCACCTGGCAAAATTTCAGAGGGATGACCTAGATCATGTTTTTCGCCGAATTTGGGTACCGTAGTTCAGGGTTTTGCCGCGCCGATTTGGTGGACTCACGATCGCTTGGGTATTCAGCCCGTATATTATCAAATATTACCAGTCAGGTCTACAGTGGATCGGTCATCTGCCGGGTATTCAGTATCCAGATTATCGCTTTTAGATCCTCCTTAATATTGGCATCGCTGTATTAGGTATTTTATTATATTTGCTGTGTTAGAGGATCGGCTTTTCACCTTTCTATGTCTGGTGCGGCCCAGTTCGCCGTCAGGCATTATAATAGGGGCGTCCGTGACCGAGAGTACCGTAATGCAGCAATAATATATTTGTTCGATTACTATCATTATTAATATAATTATGATTACGATTATGGTTGTGATTATGATTATGATTACGATTATTATTACTAGTTTTCGGAAAAAAATGTTTTTCCAATCAGGTTTTAGACTCATAACAAGTCGATTTGACATAAGTCACCTCTATGCAAAAGTGCTTCGTTTATTTGCCAACTAGATTTTTACGCTTGATGTGTTAAAACATTTTTTTAGAAACCAGCCCCAAAAAAGGTTTTTTTTTCTCGAAAACTATGAAAGATATCTCGTTTTAATGAGAGACAAAGGATGGAATAAATAAAAAAATCGGTCATGAGGAAAGTTGGGAAAAATTCTGCTACAATTTATGTAGGTGTGGGGGTAGTTTTCACACTTCCAAAAAGCTCTGGAGTTTTTCGTAAAAGGCAAATATTAGAACGCTGAGCAGAGCATATGTGTTCCAAATTTCATTAAAATCGACCTACCGGCTTTTGAAATATCTTGGAAAACGTGTTTTTAAAAGAAAACTTTGATGCCCCCTAACGAAGCACCTTCGAATACAGATAACTTATGTGCAATCGACTTGTTCTCAGTCTGAAAATAACTAGTAATCTCACGTCCATGGAATATTGGGTCACGATGTGTACAATACATGATTATATGAACAAAGAGCAAAGTTTAGCGTAAAGCTACTCAAGCTAAATTAAAAAGGGTAATATAGATAGACCATTATGCAAATACAACCACATGAATAGAAAATCAAGGATGGTGTAGTATTAAGGAAAAATGTTCACAAAAAAACACTCTCAAATATGATAAAGGTGATGCTCAAATCCAATTTCCTATAGAATAAAATAAAAACAAATATGCTAATCCTAGTTTTACAATTTAAAAAATATGCTTTTACTTACCGCGCCTATTGGCAGGGAATTAATGTAATCACAAAAAATTCGCTTTAGCTGCAGTGGTTGCAGAGTGGTCAACAAACGAAGAGAAAATTGCATAAACTTCGCTTTCGGACAATGACCTACATTTTTCAACATTTTGTGCTTTGACAACCACGCGGTTATAGGAGCGAAGGATAAACGCAAATAATATCGGTATGAATTTTATTTACGAAAATACATAAGAAGAAAACTGAATTTATACATTGACAAAATGAAACTACTAAAAAATGCTTATACTTAGTTTGTGATACATATGTTCATACTTAATTTCTACTTTATTAAAAAAACGGGTTCGCTCATAAATTGAGATGGTATTCATTTTTTCTTTCGGTACTGGTTCTGGATGAAAACTTTGATTTTTAGCCAGTCCTTATTATGTAATAATTCAGTATGACTTGCGATGAGGTTATCGCATTCAGCCTTTTTTGGGGCCCTCTTAGATTTAATGTGATTTCCAAAGTGAACCAAGACTAAATTTTTCTGATCTTCAGTCCAAGGAACTAGAACCCTGGACTTTTTCTTTGGTAACGTTATATCCACTTGCTGAGATTCCGGATCTGGATGCGGTTCTTGGATATCTTCATATTGGCATAGAGGCTCTGGGTGGTTATCATCCTGCTGCGCTTCTGATATCAAATTCTCGTCTAGATTCAAATTAATTTCGTCCAGGGATTTTCCTTTGAAATGACCTGCCTCGCCCTTCTCCATCAACGTCAAAATCTTGGAGAGTCTAGCCGTTTGGTAGACGTCATCTGGTAATCGGTATGATGCACGGTGGATACCTAGTGTATGTCCCATAAAAGATGCGAGTTGTTCCATGTCATTTTCTGACATGTTGAACAATTGAGTCAAGGTTGCCAAGTGCTTTCTCAGACGGGTGCTAGTCAGAGCATGCGGATTTTTCGCTTGACATAACGACGCATACTTTTTGATTACCTTGTAACCAATAATGGGTTCTTGGGAGTTAGGTTTACCGAAAAGATATATGTTCGACACCGTCTGAATATTATCTCTACACTCTAGTATTAGATTCAAGTGATCCTGTACATCCTTGCTTATAAGAACTGGAACACCTCTGCCTCTTTTTCCACGGATTACTATTCGTTTGAAAGATCTCATTAGAATTCTCTCGGTTTCTGTTATTGCTTCTGAAAACTCCTCATAGGCTTGATTGTGTTCCTCAGATATAGCGGATTTGTAAACATGTATGGGAAGTCGTTGTAGTTCTCCAGGCCGCCTCCTATTTAATAAAAGCAACCTACAATAAACTGTCTCGAGTAAAGACGTGTATGCTTTTTCATTGCTTGGATTTTTTTGTAGCATTGATACCTGATTTGCAGCTACTTTCATGAGGTAATCCTTCAATAGTTTGAGATCAGTAGCTAACGGTACCAAAGTGACCTTATTCCATTTTTTTAGGTTGAGGTCATTAGCAGCATTGGTTGAAATATCGAATCGCCAATTTGCCTCTATGAGTTGGATGCATGTTTTTATATCTGCCTCAACGTTTGCATTATCTACTGTTGGCAGTGACTTAGATTTTTTTAGAACGTGTAAAAGAGCCACATCGCAACATTGTTTTAAGGTTGTACCCATGTTCATAGCATATGTGGGGGATTTATAAGTTTGGCTTTCGTCATCATATCCTGATGTTAATTTAGTTGCTTTCACAAGTATGTCATATTTGTGTGGTTTTAGAGCATCAAATAGGGTAACCACAGACAAATCTAATTTTTTTATCTCCATTAGAAGTCGAGCCAATTCTCTCATTTTCCTAGAAACGACTTGGACAAAATGTAGCTCCCTATGGAGTTTCAGATATCGGGAAGCAAACGCACATATTAATTTATCATTTTTCGCAACCAATGAAACTTTGTCAGGTCTCATGCGAGGAAATACTTTTACTTTGAGCTCAATATCTACCTTTATATTACCCAATAACAGAGTTTGTCCTAAAGCCTGTGATCGTTTGCCCGACGATCCCTTCTCCGGGTTTGCATCACATTGTTTGCGATGACGCCATAAGTTCTTTGCAGAATAGTAACCCATACAGTGGATGCATGGAAGATATTCCGTTTTTTCCGCACCTTTTCTAACAGGTTTTATCCCCTCTCCCCTCAAAGGCGTAGAGTTGATAAATTTACCCTTTTTCCTTAGAGCAAAAAGCAGTTGTTGCCTTTTACGGCTTAAAACAGGTAAAGCTAGAAATTCTTGTACCTCAATTTCATTCGTATGGTTTCTTTTCAAATGACGTGGAAAATGAAAAACCTCACATTCACAAAAACAACAGAAAACTGTAACTTTTTTCTTCTTTCCTGACAGTCCAGTATTCACTGATGAAGAACCAGACTGACTGGGTGCAGACTGATCACATTCTGCGGTGGGAATTGATTCAGCTTTTGCATGTATAGTAACATTCTTCTTGACACTTGCCGAATGTAAGTTGTCTCTGGCCTCATCGCTCCTGTCCAGTTCCTCGTCCTTTCAAAAGAAAAATAAATATAAATACAATAAATGCATAAGCATCGCGACAGGTGGACAGTACTTATACTTATCATTGGAGGCGTATCAAATGAAATGTTCAGTGAATAGTGTTAGTATTGACGTTCAATTTTGTATGTTGTTTCATTGATCAATTCATAAAATATCATGCCGTCTATGCTAAGGAATGACCATTGTTTTTCAACCACATTTCCCTCTTTCGTCTCTGGCCTTCTCTCACTTGCCAAGCAATAAGCGGAGAACCTTATCCTGAGCAAAGTTGTTCCAGTAAAAATAGATTTTATTATACCTATTTGGAAAAATGGCATCAAGCAGGCTGACTCTATACTTCCTACGCCTTCAAGATGGCTCTTAGTGCAATTTCCAATATAGTGCAATTGAATCTATTAATCTGCTGTCAAAAATAGTGGTTACAATTTGAATTCAAAGTTTTTACTTATAGATGATATCTAAGGTTTAGGTGATATTTAAGGGCATCAAAATCACTCCTTTATACTGAACTTCAAATTCAGATTGTAACCGTCATTTTTGAAAGCAAATTTATAGACTCGATTGCACTATATTGAAAATTGCACTAAAAGCTGTCTCTAAGGGGTAGGACGTATAGAGTCAACCTACTTGACACCATTTTTTCAAATAGGTATAATAAAATCTATTTTTACAGTAAAAACTTCGCTCAGAGATAAGCTTTGTCGCTTGTTGTTTGGCAAGTGAGAGAAGGCCAGAGACGAAAGAGTTTTTAATCCCTCCAAAAATGTTTTTGAAAATGATCGGGATTCTCTGAAACGTCAAATACGAAGTTTTTTGAACGTTTTTTTGAATATCTACATTTACCTGTTTTGATCCGTAAAAGGCAACAACTGCTTTTTGTTCTAAGGAAAAATCATAATTTTATCGCCTTCGGAGGTCGAGGGGGTAAAACCTGTTAGAAAAGGTGTGGAAAAACGGAATCATGCATCCACTATATGGGTTACTATTTTGCCAAGAACTTATGGCGTCATCGCAAACAATGTGATGCAAACCCGGAGAAGGGATCGTCGGGCAAACGATCACAGACTTTAGGACAAACTTTGTTATTGAATAATATAAAGGTAGATAATGAGCTCAAAGCAAAAGCATTTCATCGCATGAGACCTGACAAAGTTTCAAGTTGCAAAAGATGATAATATGTGCGCATGCTTGCTGATATCTGAAACTTCACAGGGAACTACAATTTGTCCAAGTCGTTTCTAGGAAAATGGGAGAAGTGGCTTGACTTCTAATGGAATTAGATTTGTCTGTGATTACCCTATTGATTGCTATAAAAACACATAGATATGACATACTTGTGAAAGCAACTAAGTTAACATCAGGATATGATGATGAAAGCCAAGCTTATAGATCCCCGACATATGCTATGAACATGGGTACAACCTTGAAAAAATGTTGCGGTGTGGCTCTTTTACACGTTTTGAAAAAAATCTGAGTCACTGCCAACAGTAGATAATGCAAACATTGGTTCCATTAGCTAGTGATCTTAAACTATTGAAGGATTATCTTATGAAAGTAGCTGCAAATCAGGTGTCAGTGCTACAAAAAGTTCAGGTAATGAAAAAGCATGCACGTCTTGACTGGAGACAGTTTAATGTAGGATGCTTTCATTAAAGAGGAGGCGGCCTGGAAAACTACAACGACTTCCCATAAATGTTTACAAATCCGCTATATCTGACGAACACAATCAAGCCTATAAGGAGTTTTCGGAAGCAATAACGGAAACCGAGAGAATTCTAATGAGATCTAACAAACGAATGGAAATTCGTGGAAAAAGAGGCAGAGGTGTTCCAGTTCTTATAAGCAAGGATGTACATGAGCACTTGCATCTAAAACTAGAGTGTAAAGATAATATTCAGACGGTGTCGAACATAAATCTTTTCGGTAAACCCAATTCATAAGAACCTATCATCGGTTACAAATCCGCATGCCCTGACTAGCACCCGTCTGAGAAAGGTCATAGCAACTTTGACCCAATTGTTAAACATGTCAGAAAATGACGTGGAACAACTCGCATCTTTTATGGGACATACACTAGGTATCCACCGTGCATGATACCGATTACCAGATGATGTCTACCAAACGGCTAGACTCTCCAAGATTTTGACGTTGATAGACAAGGGCGAGGCAGGTCATTTCAAAGAAAAATCCCTAGAAAAAATTGAATTGAATCTGGACGAGAATTTGATATCAGAAGCGCAGCAGGATAATGACCACCCAGAGCCTCTATATCAATATGAAGAAATCCAAGAACCGCATCCAGATTCGGAATCTCAACAAGTGGATGAAACGTTACCGAAGAAAAAGACCGGTTCTTGTTCCTTGGACTGAAGATCAGAAAACTGACAAGGAAGTATTCTAAAGTATTTTCATGTTATATGACATGTAGATCACTCATTTCCGTCAGTCTGTCCGCCGCTCTGCTGCTGTGTCGAGTCCTTGATTACTTGAGGGGGAAGGTTACCACTAGACCAGGGACAGAAAAGCTACCTATATAGTTTTTAAGAGCGTTCCAGTGCCGGCGGAGAAAAAGTTAAAAACAAAAAAAGAAATCTCATAAACTTCGTTTTTTATTGTTTCAGATACTGATCATTTTTGAGAAAAAAATTTGTGGTGGAAAATTAGCGAGTTGGAGGTTGTAGAGGGTGGGACGGGTATATCTCTTTTTTATTTAGTTTAATGATACACTTCCATCCCTAGTAATTCTTCGCAATCTATTTGACACATTCTAAACATCATAGATTCCCCTCACATAGCAACGTTTTGATGGAAAAGATGTTATAGTTATTAATTGGAAAGTCGAAAAATCAAAAAATTTGAAAGTTGAAAAATATTAAAATTGTAAAATTACAAAATTAAAATATCGGATTGGCTACACAACTCCACCCAATCCAAATTTTTCAATGGGTACTTGAGTAGAATAATAGTAATATATTTACCTCAGCCTCTTCACTAGTGTGGGGACTATAATCTTCATCTTCTGCATCAGAAATTACAGAAGATGATGGTGGTGTGCAGCATATATTAGGCGAAGTAAGAGATATGAACTGAAATGAATGACATATATCAGACATGTTTCATAAAGAATACATAATATTGCTTTACCGAGCTAGATTCACTTTGGTGGTCTGGATCTTCCACTATGCTCTCGTTATTCGAGGTAACGTTGTACTGAAAAAGGTTCAATAGAATAAAAAAGTTCACAGACTAGGCAGTGAATGATTATTACCTCAGAGTCCTTGCACAAGTTACTGCAATGAACATTTTCTGATAAACCGGATATTGATGATGATGGGGGTGTACAGCATATCTTGGGGGATGTAGAAGATATTACCTAGAATAAATCATAAATATGGGAACTCTACCAAAAAAAACATACTTATGTTTTACCGAGTTGCAGTCACTGTGGTCGCTGTTTTGTTTAACCACAGATGACACCTTACGTGAATCAGTAATCACTGTTTCAGAAGTCTTATCTTTTTCTTCATCTCTTGGATGCTGTGTGATAGGTGATAGACCTCTGTTACAAAACCAATTTTTGCTCATATTGAAAGGCTTTCCCTGGAAAAGTTCAAATATATTGTTTTGTAATTATTCCGTTTCAACTTAGAGAAATAATACCATTCCAAAAAATAATAGATATACAATATCGACTATCTTCAGGAAGAATACAACATGCTTGTTTTTAGTGAAAAGATATTTGATAAGAGTGCTCTCAAAAATGTCAAAAAGCCAATTATATTAGAGTAATTTTTGTCATTAGCTTTTTTCCCAATGAACTGACATCCACAAGCCATTTTTTTCCGTGCAGCAATGGTATATGTTGATTGTCAAAGTAAAATACTTTATTTTTAATTGATTCTAGTAGCAATACCAGTGAATGATGTTCGAAATTTTACCAAACTCAATAATACGTAATGTGTTATCATTAAACACTATATCCATGCATTAACACTAGAAATTTTTGAGTGTACAGATACAGGAAATAGGTATGATTTCCTGTTTTCTACGCAAATGTTTGATAAAGTCAGATATGTCAAATAGATCCGATAGAAAACCTTAGGAAATTACGATTCACTCCCTCATCAACTCCTAACCCTCAAAATTTATTTGGATAATGATCAAGAGCCCCTGAATCGTCAAAAAACAAAGTTTGAGCGATTTCTATTTTTTCGTTTGTGGCCCTTTTCTCTGACGCCACTGGACCTATTTTTAAAAGCTAAAGCTTTCTTGTCCATAGCCTCGTAGCAACCTTGTGTCTAAATTTCATCAAAGTCCCAATGGTACTTTCCACGTTATAGCAGAAATGAGTATCATGGTTTTCCGTGATCTACATGTCATATAGCATCCAACAAAACATAATACCTCACTTTCAAAATATCTTGCGATTACAATACTTCCTCGACCGTTGACGTGGGAAGTAAAACATGATATCTCTGATTTGCAATTTTAGATTTAGAATTTTATCACCCCGCTACTGTACCATATAGGAAATAATCAACACAATCTCCCGTTTAAAATTATCATTGTCTACATATAAAGTCGAGCTACTTGACACCGTGAGTCAAAAGCACAGTCTGTAGTGATTTTGTATTATAATGCAAAAAACGGAATCAGTACATATACAGGTATGTACCCTAAAAAAGATGTAAAGCAGCAGCTAGAAAAAAGCCAAAATGAGCTTTGATTGAAGTATTCTATTTTTAAATTTTCAGTGATGTATGGTCACACTCAATCTACTTGACCCTGTTCTTTAACTTGAAAAAAAAAACATTGTAGCTTTACATTCAAGAATCACCTATACAAAACTAAACCAACAAGATTAGATAAAGTTTGGCGTAAAATTTATGGGGGTTGACCTTTTGAACAGCATTGTTTTATCCTTCACGCTACTCAATATTCATTGCTTTTCCATTAAATGTAAGTAATACAGTCATATTACCATCATATCCTATTAACGATTGCATAAGAGTTCAAAAAGTCATACTTACCTCAACAGTCCTTTCAGACACACTCTTGAATACACAACAGATTTGAACGTCCTTCCAGCACGATTGGTGCCAATAAAATGAATTCTCAGATCTTAGACAAACCGACAAACCCTATCCCCGGGCGCACGCGCTTTATTGACTGGAATTAAAATGATCGGGAGACCGATCTGACGTCAGACGTACGCCATTCAGCTAGTTCGGGTATTGTGGAGGACTCAGCACTGGTTTGCGTATTGAAGAGTATTCTTCATGGGAGATTGATCCACCAGTGTTTAGTTAATTCGAGTATTTTGGGAGACTCAGTGCTGGTTTCTTGTGAATCGTATGGTAGAAGAGTATTCTGCATGGAAGACCGATCTAGCAGTGTTTAGTAAATTCAAGTATTTTGGGAGACTCAGTGCTGGTTTCTTGTGAATCGTAGGGTAGAAGTGTATTTATTCTGCACGGAAGACCGATCTAGCAGGGTTTAGTAAATTCAAGTATTTTGGGAGACTCAGTGCTGTTTTTTTGTGAATCCGAAGGTATTTTGATGGACGATTGTATCATATGGCTTTTGGTTGGCGTGACTATATGGTTAAGTCTGAGCTATTAGAGAAAATCGTTGATATACGATTTTATTTCAAGATTAGGAATATTCTCATAGATAGATGGTACCAAACATGAATGGTGATTTCCTTATCCAAAGATAACGTCACATGATTGTAAGGCTCAGTATAGTGATTAGGTAATTCAAGTATTTTAGGATACTCAATGCTGTTTTTTGCGAACCGGAGGGCAGGGAAGTATTTCAACTGCTAATATCACAGATTTGGAAATTACGCGTCTAAAGCTTATCATCATTAGGATGTCGTCGATACGACATAGGCTATTGGAAAAGCAAAGTGCTCGATCTGAAAGTTCATACAACCTCCTGGACATGTAATAGAAAAAAGTATTCTTGATTGTGTGGGCTGCTCGATGATCTGATAATTTTTGCATAGGTAAGTTATAATTTACGAAACGTTGGGCATCCTTCTGTCGTATGCTAGCAACGTTTTGTATAGTCTTAATCGAGCAAATAGTGTACTCAAAGTTGCTGGAAAGAATTTTGGTTATATCCATTGGAGATCCTTGAAAAATAATATAATAATACAAGTCCAAGTTAGGAGACTTCAGTAGTATTATGTAAAGAGAAATAAATGAAACTTGGCACCACTGCACGGATGACTTATCTACTGGTGTTTAGTTAATTTGAGTATTCTGGGGGACCGAATGCCGTTTTGTGATCTGAAGGGTATTCCGGTAGAGGACACATCTTACGGTTTTTAAAAGGTAGACCTATATAGCGGACTTTATATGAAAATCCGAAATGTTAATGTACAGTTTTTTGAGCTGATCCTGGATCAGTTTGCCTTTTTGTTGGATATACACGAATCAAATTTGATATATATTCGATATTTCTGGTAGGTGACTTATTGCTGGGAATTGAAAGGATTACCGATCCACATGGAGATGTAAATATATATATATATATATATATATATATATATATATATATAGTATTCATAGTTAATTGCCTTAACTGTTAGGAGAAGATATCCTTTAATTTCTTTGGGTAGAAGTCAAAGTATTGCAAAAGTACACTCTTATAACTTAAACTCTCAAGCTTTCGTCGACTATGTGTTCCCTTCACTGTTGTTTTAAAAAAAAATTCAGCAACAATCTCGCCGACTTAGTAAGTAAATATTTTTATCCTAATTGTTATTTGTTGCTATTGTTAATAATTGTTTCCAGCTCCAGACGATGAAGACATAGATCTTCGAGAGTTTAAGTTATAAAAG